TAAGCCGGAGATTTATTTGTCATTTAATTAAAAAAATAAATGTTCAATATATAAGTTATTATATTTATCAACAATTTCAGGGCGTTAACAGTAACACCTAGGTCATTTAAATATCATGCAGTACTTGTAGAGTGAGATAATTTGAATATATTGTTCATATAACTTGCTGCTATACATAATAGGATGCCTGTGCCATATGGAGTTCATTTAATTTCTGATTATTTTATGCATAACTAAATCAAAAACAAAATATTTCTCAACAGATTTATTTTTAATTGCATTTTTAAAATGGTTTGAAGCCAGTCCTATATCACTCTATGAGCCTCGAGCCTACAAAGCTTACAAAGTTGATGCAGTCATACAAATCTTACGTTGAATACAGTACAATATTAATATCTCTGTGTGTGACCAATATTTGGAAACTCTGAATTCTTGTAGTAAAATAAAAAATAAAATAACATTTAATTTATTTAAATTGCACAAAACATTAATATAAATACAGTATAGTAATATCCAATACAATACATTACAATATGAATACGACTATAAAATAATAGTAACAGTAATACTGACAGACTGTAAGTTATAGCTCTAGAGACTAAATGGTATGAATTAGTGTATGTCTCTGTGATTGGCTATTGGACTGTAGTTTAAATCTGTGGGACTGTAACGGAATATTCTGGTTGACAGTCGGCGTCCATTCAGTCACACAATTGTCTCACAAATCAATTGATAACTAATTGACATTTCATTTAACACTCGTTGGTTCCCTACTTTGCATTGAACGCTAAAGTGAGGTAAAAGTTGATTCAAATTCAATGTCTATTTGATTGCAAATTGCAATCATGACCACAATGTATGGCAAAAAGTTGTCCACAAAATTGCCATTCAATTCAATGCTAACCTAATGTCCTATTTCTGGCTTTGGATGTACTCTGAGGTCGAATCCCATGTGGTGATAGTTGCGGTCATATATTGTCTCAATTAGTGGTCAATTAATGTCATTAATTGTCCATAAAATGTGATTAATACGTGTTTTTAAGCCATAATTAGTTTGACCTTAATTTAAAGGTCATGACCTGATTGGACATAATTATGACAATTGGTTGCATTGATTGATAGTCTAAGATAGGGATGAAAGACAATTGCAATGGATTTATGGCTTAATTGTGTCTGAAAAGTGTGATAACATAACGTAATCAGATCACGTGTACAGACATTCACTGGTGATTGCAATCAATTGATCTGTGATTTGAAAGATTCCAGAGATTCTTGTATTAAAACTAATTATTTGTGATGTCTTTGCATTGGTTCCGGAGGAATGCCTTTCGATGCGGTTTCATTCGCCAAGGATTTCATTGCCGGCGGTGTGTCGGCCGCCGTCTCCAAGACAGTGGTGGCGCCCATCGAAAGAGTGAAACTTCTTCTTCAGGTCCAACACGCGTCCAAACAGATCGAGGAAAGCAAGCGATACAAAGGTATGTGTATTACAGTTAAGACATTGAGATAATGAGGCGATGACTGACGGGTTGTTTCTGAGGACAGGTATTATCGACGCCTTTGTGCGCATCCCTAAAGAGCAGGGAGTCGTCGCCTACTGGAGAGGAAACCTCGCGAATGTGATCCGATATTTCCCGACTCAGGCGTTGAACTTCGCCTTCAAAGACAAATACAAACAGATCTTCTTGGGAGGGGTCGACAAAAAGACCCAATTCTGGCGATACTTTGCTGGAAACTTGGCGTCCGGTGGAGCAGCCGGTGCCACATCCCTGTGCTTTGTCTACCCCTTGGACTTCGCCCGAACCCGATTGGGTGCAGACGTCGGTAAATCCGGATCCGAAAGACAATTCACGGGTTTGATTGACTGTTTGGTGAAAGTCTATAAATCGGACGGATATTTCGGTCTCTACCGTGGATTCGGTGTCTCTGTTGGAGGTATGTGAGGAACTGGAGGGTTGTGTGGTTAGCATGAATGCTAATTGAGTGGTTAATCTATGCCAATGAATAGGTATAATCATCTATAGGGCGGCATACTTTGGAATGTTCGACACCGCGAAGGGTATGCTTCCGAATCCTCAGACCACTCCGCTTTTGATCTCGTGGGCCATCGCACAGACAGTGACCACAATATCGGGTATAGTCTCCTATCCCTTCGACACTGTGAGACGTCGAATGATGATGCAGTCGGGACTGGCAGCCAATGAGCGCATGTATAGGAATACCTTCGATTGTTGGGCTAAAATCGCGAGAACCGAGGGACCGAAGGCCTTCTTCAGGGGCGCCCTCTCTAACGTCTTCCGCAGTACTGGCGGTGCACTGGTTCTCGTCTTCTATGATGAGGTCAAAAAGCTTTTAGGATAACCTTTTCACCTATAATACAATACTTTCGTCTCATTACCGGTGATGACATTTCATATCACTTCCATCTCTTTGAATTTAATTTAAAATGTTTTTAATCTTACGATAATTATATTAAAAATATTGCAATTTTATTGATTTCAGTTACAAATCGTTTATAAGTAATTATAATAAACACTATAATATAATGTACTCTTATATAGTGCACATGTATTTAAATTATATGAATCTTTAATTTAATAAATTATAGGCCAAAAGTGCACATATTATCTACAGATTTCAAACCTAAGGTCTCTATTCTCGAAGTACACTATACGATGAGTCAGTATATAATTTTGATTTTTAACTTATCTCTCATTGAATGGGAAATGATTTATACAAAAAATTGCACACAAATAGTGTTTATAAATAAATTCAATACAGTATTGAATTCATTACATGATAAATGGTATGAATGATAACGAATGCTATGAATGATAAATGAAATGAGCACTCAGTTGTTCACTATAAGGCAATCGAGTATTATATAAATTTAAGCATTATTNAGTACACTATACGATGAGTCAGTATATAATTTTGATTTTTAACTTATCTCTCATTGAATGGGAAATGATTTATACAAAAAATTGCACACAAATAGTGTTTATAAATAAATTCAATACAGTATTGAATTCATTACATGATAAATGGTATGAATGATAACGAATGCTATGAATGATAAATGAAATGAGCACTCAGTTGTTCACTATAAGGCAATCGAGTATTATATAAATTTAAGCATTATTTACACTAATCTGGAACCTATCAAACAGTGGTTCACTATAACGAGTATACATAGTATACGAATCACTTGAATCAGTCTTAATCCTGCAATTTGTAGGCATAGGCACGAGTCAGTCAACCACTGAACTCATGCACTAACCATAAGGCACTAAATGTAAGGCACATCCACTCGTTCAATGTCTGTTCAAAGTCTTGTGGCAATTGATTGTCATATGAATGGAATGGCACTGATATGACCATCAAATCAGATTAAATGGCACTCATTTGTCTGGCTCTCCAGAGCCCTCGTCTTAATCTGTTTCCAATGGGTTAGTGTTGGCGCACATGATATGTATGGGTAGCCCAACAGCCATCGGCCCAACATTAAGAACTGTTGACCGGAACCCGCTTTCGTGTGACACTTGAGCGGTCGGTATAGTGTGTAGTGTTGGACAGTGGCTGACAAGTCGTTGACGACGGCGTCCACTGATATGCTGTGATTGTGACCCGAAGTCTCGTATCGGTTGTCCGCCGGATCTTTGATGACCCGCTGGGCTCTGACCGTCACTTCCGAGCGCTGCAGCGGCTGGTTGTGGAACAG